GTACATGACTCTGTAATATGGTGCAATATTGAGAGAAGGTACAGTCCACGGTTCCCATGGCTGTAATAAATATAGATTTAGTGTTCACCCATCAAAAACTACAAAGCAATTCTTATTTTTTCTGTCGTCTCTTGTATCAGTCGCTTTAGTGAAGGTCTTACCCAACACATGTAGCACCATCGCAGGTTTCTAACACTGACTTCATTATCTCACCAGCCTCTTAGACTTTTTTTGGTGTCCTTTCCCTCGCCCAATAGTTCACAGAAAGTCCTGCCCTGTCCGTAACCTTTGCTCTTTTGCCTACAAAAGTGAGAGAAAGTTGTAAAGAAATGAGTGTATAATGGGTGGGTGGGGGTAAACGAGAGACACAAGAAGAAGTAGCTGGCGTGAGAAAGTGGCACTGCGCTTTTTCTTGTCAGATCCCCTGACTGAAACCACCGCGAGCCACCAGCCACAGCAGCTAAACAGATAAACACCATGAAGCTGAATCTGTGGTCTGAGCGTGAAGCTGCTTTATGATGTGATGTTTCTCTTTCTGTGATCACTGACTCGTTTGATGCCTGTGTTATCACACAGTGTGCTCTCCACACTGGCCTATTGAGAGAGCACACGGACGGGTTCATACAAACATCTGAAGACAACACCTGCTTTGTTGCTAACTTGTCTTGAATTATACATTTCTTTGAAGGTATTGCAGAAAGGCAGCATTACAGGACGTTGCACCTCGGACAGGTATGTCACATAGCGAGAATGAATGCCATCACTAAAGCAAGAAACCCAAAAGCAAGTCTCCATTACAGCTGCACCACAAACGTCACATCTAGCAGGAGCATCAGTATTAACTGGATATAATTCATTTTACTCAACAAAACCTGTGATTATTTGAATACAAAATCCATCCTCCTTTCTTTCCTCATGAGTTCAATCACTCTGTTGAGCAGCTAATCCGTGCGTTTCCCTCCCAACAGTAAGTCCTGTTCTATCTCCATGGAGGCTGATGCTGACAGTTGGGTCTATCCAGTCGGGTTTCTGGTATAAGTTTTAATTCACTATTTATCACTATTCATACTTTTATATAAAGTTTTAGCTTGTGCAGGTCACTATAGACACAAATTGCTAGCTTTGGCTCAGCTCTCTGACCATCCAATCAGAGGACGTGAAGGTGCTGATGTCATCGTAGGGACCATTAACTCTCAATCTGATTGGTTAAAGCGATAGTTTCATTACAATGCTTTTTCAGCTCCAGGCGCCTGCACTTTTTATTCTGAAGGCCTCGGGGCAGATATCTGTGACCCTGGCAACACATGATGGATGAAATATGATTGGATTAAAAAAAAAGCTCTAATGTAAACATAAACTGCTGGAAGCACCACAGCCCAGAGACACGATGAAATGAAGAGAATAGACTTTTGGGAATAAAATATTAATGGTAAAATTTTAAAATGTAAGTCAGTGATTCTGATGTAGTTTAGGCCAGCGGAGAAGGCCTTGCTGGTCCTGATGGTCCACCGCTGGTAAGAACTAAGCTAACACTGTTTATTGACATTTCTTTTCACTCAAGTGTAGCATTTGTTTTTGTTTTCTATCTTTTTTCTTCTTCTTCAAGTATCAACCTAATGTTTTCCATGGGTTTTTGAGGACTATTGTTCCAACAACAAACTGTCCGTGTGGTGAATGTATGTCCCATCTTTATCACACTTTTATCTCTGTTTTTGGGCTCCACCAACTGCAGAGGGAAATCTGTAGTTGTAAAATGATCTGGTCTGTTCAACAGCTCGCTGCCAGCTGTTTGGTGATGAATGTAAAGAACAGCTACCTGCTGCTGGAGAGCAATTAGAGTGATTTAAAGCTGTTTCAGGGGAGCCTGAACCTTTGTGGGTCTTCAAACCAGCCTTGTAGAACCACTTACAGGACTGGTTTTGGTTGAGACAAAACGGGGGAAACGAGTACCAACCTCAGAGTAGGTACTTCTAAGCAACCCTGAAAAACGACTGTGCAGGTTTTGACAGGCTAACATAACAAACCTTCCATCCTTCGACCTTCGAGGGCTGGCTAGCTGTTGGGTCCTGCAACACAATGTAAACAGAAAGGCTGTTGTCGTTCCTTTAAACATGAATTATAGCCATTTAAACCAGGTGTCTCCCTTAGCCACACCTTCTTGCATCTCTAGAAATTCATTATTTCACTTATACTAAATTGGGAAACTTTGATAAGACAGATTTCGAAAAGAATGATCAAATTAAACAGCAGAAGTCAAGATATTATTACTTACAGTCTCTGGTATGGATCAAGTGAGAAAAGTAACTAGTTCTGGATTCATCCACAATACATCTAAGACAAGAAAAACTTGATTTTCACAGGAGTTTTTTTGTGTATTTGTACATATTTAAAAACAGAAAGGTAGCAGTATTGTTAACTAATGAATATCAACATTTCAGGTATCTCACGTCCCATTTACACCATCATATTCCTCCTACGTCCTTTCCATACAACGGTAAGATTTTAAAGCTCAACACTGTAAACGAACATCTGAAACAAAGCAAACTTAGCTCCTGACTACATTCGCACTCTTTTTGTTCCCCCATCCTCCTCAGGTTTCAGGTTCCTAGAAAGGCAGTTCTCTGCCACCACCGAGGGAACAAGAAGCCCCTGAACCCCCCAAAACAAATGAGGCAGAAACCCACCGAACCCACCAGCCCGTCTCGGCTCCCTGCGCCGCTCTCGTCTGCTCTCCCTGACAGCCCCTGGGAAAAGGTTACAAGCCCCCCACCACATCAACCACACTGTGCCGACATGCCTGTCTGCATGCATTTCAAAGAGAGCTCAAACTCTGTTTTGTGCTGCTCACACCAGGAGTCAAATGAGATGCCTGCAAGAATTCAGCCACACTGAAAGAAGTGTTGGTTTCTGTTTACATGCGGCCCTTGATGATTTGATTTCAATCAGAGGTCAGATTCAGGCTTAATTATTTGATAACAGATTTGTATTAATGGAATATTTGTATTTTTAATTTATGTGAGTCAGAAAAACTGTACAATGTGATTTGTGTATTTGCTGATGATCTAGATGGATGATTTACTTTACCAGGTGAAATTTAGCCGTTTTTCTTTTCTTTATGTTGCACATAATCTTTTCATGGCTGCTTTTTCTCCAGGTAGTAAAAGCGAAACATCATTTTCTATGACTTTCAGCTTAAGTTTTAAATTGAAAACAAGCAGCTGCCACTTTGCTAATAACCACCATGAGGTTAAAAACTCTAGTACTGATAAGGCAACCAGATATACAAGGTGTGTCAGAAAAGTTCAAGGACTGGTGTCACAAAAGATAGATTTCAAACCCAAACTACAAACTATGAGTTTTTCCCCTTCAGACGATCAATCAGCACGTCTACAAAGAGATCCTGCTGCATTTGCTTCGTTCAGAAGAGGTGAGAGTTGTGGCAGGACCAGTCGTGGCTGCTTCACCATGACAACTCTCCTGCTCACAACGCCCTGAGCATCCGACAGTTCCTGGCTGAGAAGAACATCACCGTGCTGGAGCAACCTCCCTACCCACCCCACCTGGCTCTGTGGGGTTGTTTCCTCTTCCCCAAGCTCAAGGAAGTCATCAAGGGGACCCGTTTAGAAGACGTGGACGACATCAAGATGGCTGTAGTGACGGAGCTGAGGAGGATCCCGGAAGAATCCTTCCAGGAGTGCATGGCGGCGTGAAGAGAAGGCTGGAGAAGTGTGTTAGACTCCAGGGGGATGACTTGTAGTTTGTAGTTTGGACTTGAAATATATCTTTTGTGACACTTGTCCTGGAACTTTTCTGACACACCTCCTATGGTTATTACATGCTGTGGTCCTGATTCAGTAAGCATTGTGGGGTTGTTAGCTAAAGAAGCATGTCATCTGCATATAGTAACGTCTTGAATAATAGAGACTACCAGTGTTACAACAAAGTCAAGACTAAATGAATGTTGACTTTTTGTAATGTCCTGCTGCTTTTCCATCTGGCCTTGGAAATGATTGTTCTCAATAAAGAATAGCAGCTTTGCATTGTGCTCAAACGTGTAGGATTCAGATCGAGCTGAAATTAAGCGGATTAAGCGGAGTATAGATAATGGATGGAGTTCTAAAAAAAAAGAAAAAAAGATTTGAAGTCATAAGTGGTGCCTGTAATTTTACTTCAGTAAATCTATGCTGTTATTTTTTATTTTTACAGAACACTTCTGTGCAACTGAGATGTAATGCAATATTGAGAGGTGACACCAGTTTAAATCATTGACATTTATATTGCACAAAGCTGTACCCACTGCTGTTGCATGCTCTAAGCTCTGCGATATGTCGGTGTTTAAAATAAGCGTGATAAAAAAAGAGAGAGAAAATCTGCCCCTGCTCGCATTCGAACTGTGTGGGACGGCTGGATACCACATAAAGAACATACACACACACATATGCAAAGAACTGTGAAGACATACTGCCATGTGTAACTGGCATCTTAAAAGTAAAGGTCCACATGTTCACATGAGAACGATGAGATATTCAAACTTTCCAAAGGAGCCTCGGTGTATTTATGAGTCCGCCCACATGAACAGTCATTGTGCTGTGAGTCTAATGGTGACACAAACACATCGGTCCTACAGTAGACAAGGTTTCAACATGACTTTGGTGTGATGACAATTTTTTGTATGTCCCAAATCTTTAGAGTCTAGACGACCAAATATCTGCAGATATGTTCAAGACTTTACGTGTAGGAATAAAGGTATCAACAAGGGAAAAACCCAAAACTGCCTGGAGAACAAAAAAGGATGCTTATTTTCAACATTATTCTTTTTCACATCATAGTTTGAAAGTTTTTGTAACTTTGGTGAACTTTTTTTGGACAATTCTGTCCTCCTGGACTTCCAGTAAAAACATCCTCAGCAGCTTCTCAAAATCAAATCAAATCTCTTTGTGTCATCATGTCATCAGTCGATGGGTGTGAGAAAGAGAAAAGGGGACGTAGCGAGCAACAAGGACGCAAGAAACACTCTCGACATTCAGCTGTGCGTTAAAGAGGTAAGATCTGGAATTATGGCTGGGATTTTCTTGCTATGTTGTCCTAGTTATGTTTAATTTATGCCATTTTTGATATTTTTAAATGTGCTTACAACATGACAAATGCAACTTTAGGGCACATTGCAGCTTTTGTGCAAAGGTGGGTTGTGAACGGTGTTATTTTACAGAATCACCAGGTTAAATAAATATTGTAATAACACAGAAAATCTAGATGAAGATTTACTGGAAGATGTTTGAATCAAGTTTCGGGAGGACTAGGCTGCAGTGTTGAGCTCTGGAGTTGTCTCGTTTAGTTTTTCTTTCAGGCTTTCCTCTTCCTTATTTTGCTTAGCAACTCATATAAAGTTAAAATCCCACAGCTGTCATATTAGTTGCCAAATATTTGACCAAGTAGTAAATGCATTACACATTTAGAACAAGTTTAAATTCACTAATGTGCAAATCACAGATTTAAATTCAAAATCTCTCTGCTTTGTTGTTTTTTTTTTCTCTAAATGTCTAAATATGACATATGCATTTCAAATGGAAGTACAAACAGCGGTATCAGTGTCAGTTTGGAAGATGTCTGCTACCACATCGGGGTTATCCTCAGTGAAAGCCCTGAAACATTTGTGCAGGTGGCGGGCTGTATTTGTGAAGGAAACCTCAATCTTTGGCAGCGTAACTGAACACGTACCAACAGGTGTGACACATCTGAGTGCACGAGGCTCTACAAGCGACATGAAAGACTCGTCTTTTCAGACTCTTGCAGGCTCATAACACATGATTTTTCAGCTCTCTCTCAGCCTCTGACATGCCGCGGTCGTTCCTCGTCCGGAGTAAAAGGGCTCATCCGCTCAGCCCGTTCAAGGGCTGCTTCAGATATCGGTCCAGACCGGACGCTGAGGAGCCTGTGATGATGATGCAAGACGGCAGGAACCATAAAGATGCTGCGTCCCCCTCGGTGGGGGTCAAAGACGGTCTGTCTGAAGCCTCCTCACCGTGGGCTGGGGTCCACTCTCATAGTGCCCACACAGAGGATCTTTCAGGTATGTGAGGACTTTGTAAATTTTGTGCCACTTAAATTACACTAAATGTGCAATGTGTGCTCTTTCGATGGCATGAAAGTGTTGATCTCACTGATCAGATTTCTATAAGAGACTGGTGATGACAAGAAGAGGCCTTCAGTTATTGAGGAATTAATTTTGTGTAAGAAAGTGAAGCTTCATTTTCTATACTAAAGGCCACACAAGTAAAGCAAAGCTGCTAAAAAAAAAAAAGAGAGAGAATTTGTTTTCTCTCTCAGTAAATCCGTTTCTATTTCGTGTTTTTTACAGCAGCCCCTGTGGAGAAAAAAGAAGCTCCTCCGATGGCGTCGCCGTGGTCATCCGGCAGACACCAGGCGTCCGACAGGGAGCGAGAGCTGGAGAAACTGGTCTTCATGCTGGTCAACCACACGTCACACACCGACCTGAAATCCCCCGTCAGCGAATGTCCGCTCTGTGAGAAGGTAGGAGGCCTCGCAGTGTCCGTCCTTATCAGCTGAGAGAGAAACCAGATAAGAATTCTGATCATCATGCACTGAAAATTTGTTGTATTTGTCCTAAAATATTTATAAAAGCAGAATCTTGGATGGAATATGTGATCCTAATGAGCTCAGATGCACCTTTGGCATGTTTTTGCCAGATAATACCAGCTGATGTACGACCAAATAGTAGTTCTCTAGTGTTAGTTTGTCATTTTAGGAAAGAAGGCTCAAGCTATTGCCAGCAGCCAGTGAGTCCAGCTTCGCATAAAGACTGGAAACAGGCTCCAACCTTAACCCGGCCCAAATTAAAAGCTCATCAATAAGCACAGTACTGGACAACAGAATTTGCTTTTGTACCAGCAGTTATGTGTCTGTTTGGAAACTGGTTGCAAACTACTGAAAATATAAATTGTGAAGCTTTCGTTGAAATAATGCCGGTGAGCTGTTTTGTGTTTTTTTTTTGCAACAAATTCTAATTTTCTGAATTTCGTCCTCCTGGATCAGGTGTAAAATTCGCCTCTACTAATTGCAGGAGGGAGATTTATCCCTGATTCACTTCAATAACGACGCGTTCTTACTATAGAACTGTTTGGGCACGATTTTTATAAACTTCACTCGCTTTAACCTAAAGATTAGAATAAAAAAAAAAAATCTTTCTTGATGCTAAACGTTGCAGGATAAAACAGCCTCTGTGGTGCCGAAATCATCGGCGTTAAATGAAGTGTTTTAAAAATGCATGTGTCGTATCTGATGATGAAAAAAATGAACTTCCCTGAAAGCCAACGTGTAGTTTGCACATCGCTGCAGGCGGTTTCTGCACCAACCAACAAACTGTTTGGCACAAATCTGAAAATTGTCGTTGCTACACGTCCTGCTTTAGTTTTCGACCGTCAGCGTGGATCAACAGTGTGAGGTGTTACTTACAGACGGATCAGACAGACTGGTTGTGTGAAGCTATGCTACCTGTACTAGTTATGGAAAGTAACGAAGTACATTTACTCACTGTTTAAACGTAATTTAGGGATATTTGTACTGAGCTTAACTACATCAGAGGGAAATGCAGAACTTTCTGCTCCACTACATTCACCCAACAGCTTTAGTTAAAGGTCAAAATTAAACACAATGGATGATATTTTGTTTTGAAAGTGTTGTTAAAATCAAACCAGTGATTTAAAATTTGTTTTGCTTCTTGTAAGTGTTTTTTTTTTCTTGCTAAACATCTCATGTGGTTTCATTTCAATTAAAACTCAAATGATGCAATCTCTCACCAAAATCAAACTGAAACCAGATTTATCTTTAGGAAAGTTTTAACTTTTAATTTCGTTGTACTTTGTGTCTGATGACAATAAAATTTTAAAAAGCATTCTATTTTATTCTGACTTCACGTTTGGAGCCTTTAGATTGATTTGCTGCATATTGAACAGGATAGAAAGTAGTTTTAAACCTGCTTTAAACTACCAACAGTAACATGCTGTTGACACACTGATGCTTTAGTAATATTTAGGTTGTATTAGTTAGATTATGGGCTGCAAGGTGCAAGCATCGTTGCTTCACAGCTAGAAGGTCGTCGGTTCACATCTCGGTGAGGACACCCGGGATCTTTCTGTATGAAGTTTGCATGTTCTCCCCGTGCAGTGTGGGTTCTCTCCGGGTTCTCCGGCTTCCTCCCACACAGTCCAGAAACATGTTGAGGTTAATTGGTGATTCTAAATTGTCCGTAGATGTGAATGTGAGTGTGCTTGGTTGTCTGTCTCTAAGTGTAGCCCTGTGATAGACTGGCTACATGTCCAGGGTGTCAGCTGGGATAGACTCCAGCCCCCCATGACCCTAATGAGGATTAAGGTGTATAGATAATGGATGGATGGATATAAATATAATATACCAGTCAGAAGGCCAGGACTTATGGGTTTAGCTACATTTGGCTGCTGATACTTATCTACTTTTACTGAAGTGAGATTTTTCATGCAGGACTTTAATATTTACACTTTTCTTCCACCATTGGACTGACAGCGGTCTCCAGTGCTACCATCTTCTCCTTTAACTCTTCCCCACAGAGCGACTGAGCCTATTCTCTGCTACTCTCAGTCTCTTTCAGAAGTCCAGCGATCAGGAGGCGGCCTGCAGCCTCATCTTTACAGCAGCCTCTCCGTCCCGCTGACAATATCCCCCACGGCCACAGACGTGTCCCACATGGGCTTCGGCTTCAGGGCGGTTGGCAACTATGGCAGAGCAAAGGTACCCCACAGTGGGAATATTTACAGCTTTCCCAGTGACTCATTATCACAAGCTCAAGTCAGCATGTGTGTGTGTTTGCATCCAGGAGCGTAGCTTTGCCTGTAAGGTTTGCGGAAAGGCCTTCAAGCGCTCGTCCACTCTGTCCACGCACCTCCTCATCCACTCAGACACCCGGCCCTACCCCTGCCAGTACTGCGGCAAGAGGTTCCACCAGAAGTCAGACATGAAGAAGCACACCTTCATACACACAGGTGAGCGAACGCAACGCTACGCGAGCTACGTTCTCTGAAACTCCTCATCTGAAAACCTGCCCTACTGTTTTTTTTTCCCCCCACTCCTCCGGCCACAGGTGAGAAACCGCACGTGTGCAAGGTGTGCGGTAAAGGATTCAGCCAGAGCTCGAACCTCATCACCCACAGCCGAAAGCACAGCAGCTACCGGCCGTTCAGCTGCCCCCGCTGCCAGCACAGCTTCCAGCGCAGGGTGGACCTGCAGCGCCACCAAGAGACGCAGTGCAGCTATGGACACATGTACACTCCAATCTGAGCCCATGAAGCCAGGAGGAGCAGGCAAAACTGGAAGAGAATGGCTTCTGTATATAATTTACTAACATTTAATTGTGTAAAAGTCTAAAAATAATGGATTCAGTGACAGCATGCATGTGTAAAAACGGTTGTTTTGTATGAATAAAGTTGGACTGGTTTGCTTAAGAAACATCATGTTTGTGTTTTGTACGTTTGAGAAACTTTATAATGGTACATCTTTAACAATAATAATAATAATCATTATCATAATCATAATCATAATCATAATAAAAAACTACAGGGAAGTCAGTCACAAATAACTACAGAATTAGTTTCCCAGGATGTGCTGGGTAACGCTGTTCCAGTCAGGTTTAGTCCTTTTCAGAGATTACTTCCTTCAGAAAGTTGTGCGATCACAGTGTGTGTCTGTGTGTGATTGTCCCATTATCGACTGACGAAGGCCTCCTTAGTGTCCTGATGAGGATCCACTCAGGATGTTCTTTGACTTCTGCATGAAAGTCTATTTTGGAAATAATTTTCTGAAAATGAAAGAAAAACATACCTGTGTATTTGCAGCACTACTTCTACAGGACATTTAAAGCTAGCCTGTCTATCACAGGGCTGCACTTAGAGACAGACAACCAAGCACACTCACATTCACACCTACGGACAATTTAGAATCACCAATTCACCTCAGCATGTTTCTGGACTGTGGGAGGAAGAACCCGGAGAGAACCCACGCTGCACGGGGAGAACATGGAGACTCTATGCAGAAAGATCCCGGGTGTCCTCACTGGGACGTAAGCCGGCGTCCTTCTGGCTGCGAGGCTAACGATGCTAACCACTGCTCCACCTTGCAGCCTGATATTTTTTATATAAACCGTGACAGCTGTTGCTTATGGTGACAAACCTGCAGATAATCATCTGTAACTCGGTGCTTCCCCTCAGCTGTCTCACCTACTTGCAGCTTTAATCTAATTATCATTACTTGGATTCTCTAATAGGTCAGATATTTTTAGAAAAGTTCTAAAAAAAAAAACTCCCGCTGGCACCGTCAGACGCCACATAGACACCGTTAGCTGTAGCTGGTGGAGCTGCAGAGGAGTGTTTTACTCAGAGCTAAAGCTCAAATGAATCCTGGACTTCTTGAAATTCAGGTTGCTCTGAGTCAAAAAGCATCTCACCAGCTTCCTCTGCTTTAACCTTAATTCTACCAACTTTAAGTCATATTTTAAAGGGGCTTTATTTTATCATTGCGCTTTGCTCCACGACACTCTCAATCAATTTGCTGCAGATGACTTTATATCATTTAGTTTGTTTAAAAAGCACCAATGCTTTAGCGTCCTGGGGAGTCAAAAGCCTTCGATGCTTTTAATAAATGGGACTATTATTGCTTTTTTCGTTTTGTTTATTGCACACTATTGGAGTTCTCTGTCAGTCATTTAGAAGGAGACGGACACGGAGGGCTAAAGCACTAACGTAGACTGTACTTGGGATTAAAGTTGCAATTTGTATGAAAGACATACATATATTTCTATTTTAAATAACATACAAATTAATAGTAACTTTAGTGAATTCGTTAAATCAGTTTTATTTACAGTATAAAACAGAAGGGAGCACACTACGCTGCAACACAACTTAAATGTCAAATGATTCAGACTCACTCGTCCTCTGCATGGATGATAACAAATATGTGATGTTGATCTTTCCTGGAGGCTTTTGTTTCTCTATGTCAGATAAGTACAAGCTTCTGCTGGATTGACGTCAGGCGACAGACTTGGTTTCGGTAATCGTTTTAGCTTTGTTTTCTTTAGAAACTGTTGTGCGATTTTGGCAGTCTGCTTCGGATCGTTGTCACGCTGGAATGTTTCTCTCCAGCCAAGCTTCTGCAGACTGTGAGTCATCCTGTCCAACACCTTTTAGCTCATGCGGCCTCGTATCTTCACTCCCACCTCCGTGCTTCACTGTCGGGACCATACAGTCACTGTGGTAGTCCTGAACAGCTTCACACCTGGACCCCATCTGAGCACAACAAATTTATCTTGGTCTCATCTGAACAGAGAATGTACTCCCAATATTCATCACACTTCTTTTCATGCCCTTTAGTAAAGTTTCATTTTGCAGTTCTGTGCCAACAAGTGAGGCAGTTGTTTTTTTTCTATGAGTGCTTCGAGGTGTGTCAGAGAAGTTCCAGGACTGGTGTCACAAAAGATAGATTTCAAACCTAAACTACAAACTACCAGTTTTCTCCTTCAGACAATCAACCAGCACGTCTACAAAGAGATCCTGCGGCGTTTGACATGACAACACACCTGCTCACAACGCCCTGAGCATCCTGCAGCTCCTGGCTGAGAAGAATATTTCCGTGCTGGAGCAACCTCCCTACTCACCCCACCTGGCTCTGTGGGATTGTTTCCTCGTCCCCAAGCTCAAGGGGCTCATCAAGGGGACCCGTTTAGAAGACGTGGACGACATCAAGATGGCTGTGTCCAAGGAGTTGAGGAGGATCCCAGAAGAATCCTTCCAGGAGTGCATGGTGGCGTGGCAGAGAAGGCTGGGGAAGTGGATTAGACTCCAGGGGGATTACTTGGAAGGGGAAAACTTGTAGTTTGGATTTGAAATATATCTTTTGTGACACCAGTCCTGGAACTTTTCTGACACACCTCGTATGGTTATTACATGCTGTGGTCCTGACTCAGCAAGCATTGTGGTGTTGTTAACTAAAGAAGCATGTCATCTGCATATAGTAACGTCTTGAATAATGGAGACTGCCAGTGTTACAGCAAAGTCAAGATTGAATGAATGTTGACTTTTTGTAACATCCTGCTGCTTTTCCATCTGGCCTGGAAAAGTATTGTTCTCAATAAAGAACAGCAGTTTTGCATTGAGCTCCAGCGCGCAGGATTCAGATCGAGCTGAAAAGTTTGTTGATTTCTAAACTGTGTTGAAACATATTTCTGCCTGTGCCTTCAGTAAGAGGGCTGGTTGTTTTTTCCTGTTGGTTTCTGTAATAATCCTGATATTGTAAATTAAGAATGTGCTGTTTTTTGTTGGGTTTTTTTTGGTTGTTTTTGGTGCGATCAATTTTTTTGGAAGCAAAGATTACGTCAACGGGGAAAACTTGTTTGTAGTTTGGATTTGAAACATATCTTTTTCGACACCAGTCCTGGAAGTTTTCTGACACATCTCGTATACCTCCTGATCACTGCTGCAAGTGTGTTTTGACTGATCTTCTTGTATCCTTTTTCACATTTGTGAAGTCTAGGAAGCAGATTTTTGAAATGCTCTGCTAATTGTTGTCCATGTGGAGCATATTGTACAACCTCAAAATAATGCACACATTGAGAGGTGATTCAATTTAGAATCATTTGATATCTAAGTAATGCTGCACACGGGTGCTGTTTCCTGTTTAAAGCACTAATTCACAACCTCAGAGCGATTCACGTTGTAACTTCAAGACTTTACAACATATTCAGAGAAACCTGACGTTTCTCGTAATATTTTGGCGTTTTTGCCGTTACGAGATTCGACACTTGACCTTTCTTCGTTTCGCTTGAGTCACATGAGATTGGAGTGAAAGGGCAAGTCAACGCGGGCCTCAGCATATTTAATGCATCTCATTTGGCACATAAATACAGAACAGAGTTCACCAACAGATAGATGTAGTTTTGACATCCAGCTGATTCACAGCTACAACACAAGTAGTGAAAACGAGTGAGTCTTCAACCAGGCACGCAGTAACCTCTCGATTCTTCTGTGACCTTGCGTTCTGGCTCTAAGGACGGCGACGTGGTTTCTGTCTGAGTCACTCCAACCATGATCAGATCCTGCTGAATCCAGAAGCAGCTCCGTCCATGTGAAGATGCGCGGCCAGTTTCGCAATGACTCGCTGCAGAGTGGCTCGCTGCATCGAACAACCCACGTTTCGCTCTCAATCAAACGTCTGATCCTTCAGAACGCTTACGATGAGCTACTGTAGTCACAAGTTCTCGGTCCTCTCGCATGTCTGCCACGAAGCAAAGACTCATGAGGAGCGTTGCACAAACAATATCTCTGCACACACACACACACACACACACACACACACACACACACACACACACACACACACACACACACACACAAGTTGTTAGAACCTCTGTCCCAGTTCCCCTTTCTCAGATTTGCAGGAGGAAATCCTGAGAAGGAGATAAAAGAATGAAACAGTTTCAGACCTACGTGGCACATCAGAGTTTAAATCTGCAGGTGCTCCACTAATGCCGACATGTTTTCTGGAGCTGGCAGCGTTTGTAACCGCTGCAGTTTATTTTAAATGCACAGCTTTGACATGAGGTTGACGATGTATCTGCCAGCTGGAGTAACGTGTACAAACCTGTTGGGTTTAAATTGAACAAAGGGCAGAGTGGCAGATAGGCTGCTGGCTCATTTGATGGTATTATTTTGAAAGAAATCTAAACATACAAGAAAATAATAGCATAAAATAATATAGATTTAGCGACCTAATGCCAAAACTAATAGCACAAGATAGCAGTTAGATCATTATTATTATTATCAGTTTTTTGCTGGAAGAGGTAGACATATTAGACATATTAGAAATTAAATAAACAGTTAGCTACGGAAAGAGATTTTTTAGATTTTCTGAGTTTATTTTTATTTTTTTTTAGGTAATCAGCATCACTGTAAATGTAGCAGGGTTATCCCAATGGTAATAATACCATAAACACAAAGCTATAAGGTTTATTAATTACATTAAGCATCAGTAAATTGTCTCTGAATCACTAGTTTTATATAGAAGGATGCATAAACACATAAAAACCTGTTTATTTCTATGATGTAATGTTGTTAGAAAATGACCAGACAAACACATCAGCATAATCACAGTGTTTAAAATGTGATTACAGCAGAGTGTAATGAAGAGTCACGATGCAACCTGGAGTGTAGATGAAGTATAAAAGATGGATGCAGTCACAGTGACATCAGCTGGTTTGTTAAGTACCGTACTGAGGCCTTATCGCCATCTTTTGATGCAAACCAGTTGTGACATGTGAAGAGTCGATCTGAGAACTTGAGAAAAACTACGAACACACTAGTGACCCGTCAGCTCCCTGAAGCATTTTCTACTTTATCATTCGTTTTATTCCTTCATTTACAAAATGATCAGGATGCACTGAAGGAGATTTAAAGCCATCAATTGAGACAATAAACTCATTTAGAAGTTGTTTTCTGAGGTAAGAAATTAAGGGAGAAGTAGGTTCATTTTCTCATAGACTTCTATGTAATAAGATGTTTTTTTGCAACCAGAGAGGTCGCCCCCTGCTGGACATTAGAGGGAATGCAGATTAAAGGCACTTCTAAATTTGCCACTTGTCATAATGTGTTTTAATGCACATTCTGAAGTCCTGCATTAAAACAGTTTGATGGAAAGTCTGAAAAAGCTTCTCAATTCAACACTCACTTGAGGTGGATTTTGATTTTCTTTAGACAACAGTTTCATGGTAAATGGAAACATCCTGGATGCAGTGAACGTTTAACTCATGGATCAGCTTCTGCTTCTTTTGCCGTCTTCTCTTTACAGCTTTAAACATGGCCGGCTGACCTGAAAGAATAATTACTACTTTCCTGATCTCTAAAGACTTATCTCCATTTTTCTCTCACAGATGCCAAAGTTTAGTTCGTTTCATCTTCTTCTTTGAGGTTTCTTGGTTTTGTTTCCAGCATCCTCTGCTGTGCTGCTTATTCCAGCCATGTGTAATGTGGCCTACATCGCCACCTTCTGACCACACTACGCCACCTTTATTTGCTCCAAAGCAGCTCATTGAGACAAGTCTCCTTTGCAGTTTCTGTTTTATGTAAGATTTCAAAAGTTCCTTTCAAATTTCCTTGACAACTATGTGGAAAGATGACTACTGGTGTCACTTCTGATGCCTGGAAGCTGTGCATCTTTGAGGCTGATTCCCTTTAAATCCCCCTCATGATCAGGTCTTACCTCTACACCGAGCTGGAGAACTGATCGGACGGTGAAGGCTGACTCCAGATGCTCTGACTTACAGGAGTCTGGTCTGTTAGATAATCTTCTCCTGCAGGTACTTGGCGTCCCCCTTCAAAAGAATACATGTTTTATGTCTCCACAGATGATACCAGAATACAAAATAGTGTGGATATTTCTCGAATTTTGGGTGTATCTCTGATTTCAATTAGTGGTTGCTGTGAACACATCGACTGTCATGTGTTTATTTTGGGTCGACCGTTGATGCTATACTTTCTGTTCAGTGATTACCTCGGGGCACTTTTAGTTATTTTTACTGGAGTGCTGTAAATCTCCACAGT